ATTTTGCCCGGCTCTGTAGGCCGGCGGCTTGCGGAGCCCTCCCCAGCCATTCCCTTGCTGAGCTGCAGCTCGGTAGTGGTGGAGGTCTCAGCAGCCCTTGTCTGAGCTGCCTGTGCAGGGGTTTGGGAGCAGCCGGTGCCCTGCCTGCTCCAGATGCCCTGCCTGAACTCCCACAGGGTGCTGCAGCCTCTTCAGCTTCATCCTCCCTCGTGTGTGGGGACAGGCGGGCTCATGGGCAAGGTGCCCCATGGACAGGCTGTCGTTGCCTCTCTTGGCACTTACCAGTTGTGCCTGGCTTGGGGGCAGCTCCCGCCTGCTCTGACCACCTCTCTCCCCGCAGAGTACAGCCGCTTCGAGTCAAAGATCCACGACCTGAGAGAGCAGATGATGAACAGCAGCATGAGCTCCGGCTCTGGCTCGCTCCGGACAAGTGAGAAGAGGTCTCTCTATGTCCGGTAAGGCTCAGCCCCCCTTGCCTGCCCCTTGCTCCAGGCAGCCAGAGGCAGGTTGTATCCCCATGGTGCGGGGTGCAGGGTGGTGGGACGGTTCAGCCTGGGCCACACAGCACCTCTGTGGATGGGTATTTCAGAGGCCTGGGAAGCAAATGTGATAGATGCATCATGAAGTCCGAAGGGTGCAGCAGGGAGAGCGATGCTTTTGCACTGGTTCGACGGGGCTGGGTGCTCTGCACTCAAGTGCCTCTTCCAAGGGCTGCTCCGCTTTGGAAAGTGCTGGTGTCTCTACTGAGGCCTGGGTGGCTGCTGGCTAGGCTGACCCACTGGGGACCACTGGGAAACAGGGAAATGCTGCGCATCCAGTGTCACTTCTACCCCGGGCAGCTCGGGTCAGCATTCAGGGCGCTCTCCTCAAACCACTGCTGGCTAACAGGCTTCTCCCTGTCTCCTCCCGCCACTCCTGTGGCAGGATCTGGCTGGAGGGGAGATGAGCTCTTAGGAGGATTATTGCTCTGAGCCCTCAATGAGCTTTTGGTCTGGAGCCAGGCGCAGGGCAGGCAGGGGTTAAGCAGCCGTGCAGCTCTAACTGCTGCAAGTCCTGCACTGCCAGGGCAGCCCCTGCTCGCTGCCTGCCACCTCCTGCCCGCCACAGCGCCAGTGGGGTGACAGCTAATGAGTAATTTTAACTGGTAATTAAAATAATCCTGTAGATCCTCGCTCTGCACAGCCTGTTGCAGGCGAGGGCTGGCGGGAGCCGGGGATGCTTCTCCTTCCCCGTGGGAAGGATGACAAGGGCCGAGGATGCATCAGCCTCAGCCTGCATCTCCCACTGCACAGCTGCGCCATGTAGAGGGGCTTCAGGCTGTTGCTGGACCTGGTGCAAACCCAGCCTGGCAGGAGGGGAAAGCTGTAGCTCTGGATTCCTGCAATTGACGCCTTCCCGCAAGGCTCTGAAGGCATCTTGCTTGATTTAGCATCTCAGGGCTCCGTGCTGGGGGTATGCAACGAGCTGGGTGCCGTGTTGAATAAACACCTTCTTGCTAGTCCTGCACTCGCTCCCCTGCTGTCCTATGGACACCGTCGTGGGTGGAGCAGGGTTTAGGCTGGGTCCAGCTTGAGTTGAGCCTGTGAGTCTCCTGTTCCCTGCCTGGATAGGTGCTGCACGTATTGGGGCATGCCTGCAAGCCAGAGAGCTCCCCACTGCCTCCGGGCTGCTTGTAGGATCTCACATCTCTTGATGCATCCCTCCATGTGGCTTTGGTGGCCTCCGCAGCGCTGTGTCCCCTCATATATACCCAGGTGGCTTCAGACGGGAGCTGGGCAGCGCCTTGCTGAGAGAGTGATCCCAGGGGAGAGCTTTCCCCCAGCATGGCCCTTCGCGACCCTCCCCAGCTCTGGCAGCCATGCACCTTGCAAACACGCTTGCGAGAACCACCGGGCGCCCAAGCTGCCCCAACCCTTCTGGGCGGGGTAGTTTCGAGCAGAGTTTACCTGAAACCAGCTGAGCTGCTGTGCTGCGGACAGGACATCAATTACAGGACTTGCTACCAAACTGCTTGAGTCAGCCCCGTGAGGCTGCGTTTCACCCTGCGTGCTGTCAACGGGGCCAGAGCCAGGTACCCGAGTGCCTGCTGGAGCCGATTTGGGGGTGCCGGTGCTTACCACGTGTTTCAGAGCTGCAGCTGCGCAGCACAGGCAGGGACAAGACAGATTCACACACTGCCTGCTGCCTGCCTGCGCTGCTGCAGGACAAAGTCCTCCGGCACCAGGGCCATGCTGGGCGGGGATGGGGATCAGGCAGGCATTGTGCCTGGGCACTGGGAAGAGGCCGTGCCAAGTCCTTGGCACTGCTCCCCTGCCCTCCGGCCAAACCATCTGCTCTCCTGGCTGCTTGTGCATTGAGCCGGCCCGGGGGCAGAGCAGAGCGACCACACTGCCACCTGGCCCCTGCACCCTCTGTGCCCCAGGGACCACTCAGCCACGGTGGGTCCCGGGTGCCAACACGGCCAGGGGCTGGTCTCCAGGAGCATCACACCTTGGGGAAGCAAATACCTTATGCCTCTGCTTCACAGGTGTCCAGCCCTTGCGCTGATCTTGCTGTGCCTGCCCTGGGATGCCAGCAGCTGCTGCGGCAGGAGGCAGGGAGCAGCGGGGCCAGTGCTGCTCTGCAGGGCAGGGTGCGGGGTGTGGGCAGGGCGCCCCGCAGCCTGCCTGGGTTCGGGAACCAGCCTGACCAGTTCCCTGGGGCCTTGGCTCGTGCTTTGCTCCCAATGGCGCTGGCCTCACAGGGGCCTGCCGGCCACATGCAGCCTTATCTTTTGGCCAGGAGCTGCCTGCCAGGGTCGCTTGTCTCCAGTCAAAGTGCCCCGTGGTGCTTTGCTGCCAGCTCCAGCATGTCAGGGGCTGCGCTTGGGTGCAGAGGGACCGAGCACAAGAGCTGCCTCAGCCCTGAGCAAGCTGGGAAAGGGGGAGCAGCCTGGTGGCTGGATGTACCTGGATGCGTAGGGCTGCATTGGATCTCATCCCAAAGAACCATCCCTGAGCCACAGGGCAGCCCTCTTCTCCTCCTTCCCATTTGAGACCGGCTGCCTTGACCCAGTCCCAAATTACCTGAAAGGCTTCATTGCCTGGCGCTCCCCTGGCAGCGCTGGAGCAGGGATCTGGCTGAAGAAGTGCCTTCCCAGCTCTGCTGCTCCACAGGGACCTGCTGTGTGGTCCCTCGGCCCTCCCATTTGCACCGTGTGCTTTCAGACCCCCTGAGGAGTCCCCCGCAGCGGAAGGCAGTATTGAGCAGGGCAGAGGGTGTCTCTCCGGGTTGAGGAAGGCTTGTTAGTGCCGGGGTTAAACCAGCAGCCAGGCGGTGTTTGCAGTGCCTGGGCTCATGTCAGGCTGGGGGGTGAGCAGGGACGATGTCCCAGGAGCGAACGCAGGGGTTGTGCTGCTGGCAGCGGTGCTTTTAGTAACTGTCCCCTTGGTTTGGTTTGTTGCAAAGTGGATGTATCAAAGCAGACATGGTTTGAGAACTGACATTGGTAGAATGAGTTGCACGTGAAGCCACCGAGAGCAGCTTGTTAGTATTGGCTGCAGTGCTGTGTGCAATGAAGTGTGCGCAGGAAGGGTATTAATGTTCCTCTAGTTCAAAAAAAAAAAAAAAAAGCTTTTCTGTAGCTGGTTAGTTTAATATTGAAGATCATTTTAAACTAAATAAACTTTTCTCAAGGGAAGTATTTAAGAGTCTGAAAAGGATCAGTTGTGGAAGCAGATATAGATACCCTCAGATGCATTCTAATTCACAGGCTCTGGACTAACGTACCCCTGTACGTAAATAAAGTGCGTGCTTAAAGCACCCCGTGGTCTCTGCCTGTGCGACCACCCGCCAGCACTGGGGTCATCTGCTCCTTGGCCACGCAGCTGCTGGGGAGGGATGGTGGGGAGCAGCCCTGCACGCTGGCTCCCCGCTGCCCTCCTGCACACTGCTGCTTTCTTGAGGCTGTGTGAGCTTCGCCTGCTCGCTAACCACAGCCATCTTCAATACGTCTGTGGTTTGCATGCCTCTCGCGGCTAAGATCAAGAGCGAGTTGTTTTGGTCTAGCAATCTTATTCCTGCGTTACACGCTTTGGGGCTTGTGCTGAGCCTGCCAGCAGGAGGGGTGCACTGGTGGCTGCGCGGCACCACTCGCCTCGGTGGGAGGCTTCCCCAAAGTTTGGGTTTAAACCCTTTAAGGTATGAAGGTGTCAGTGCCCCGGGAGGTCGGCAGTGCTGCTGCCCTCGCCGCCTGGCCATGCTCAGGGAAGGCATCGCTCCTCTCTCTGCTCCTCCGCAGAGCCCTGTTTGACTATGACCGGACCCGGGACAGTTGCTTGCCCAGCCAGGGGCTCAGCTTCTCCTACGGGGACATCCTGCACGTCATCAATGCCTCTGATGATGAGTGGTGGCAGGCCAGGCTTGTCACACCCCACGGCGAGAGCGAGCAGATCGGGGTCATCCCCAGCAAGAAAAGGTGAGTGTCCGTCAGCAGGAGCTGTCATGCATGGTGCCTCCTGGAGCTCCTCCATCTCCATGAGCCCTGCAGCCCTTGGGGGTCTGTGCAAGGTGGGATCTCCTTGTGATCCCAGCCCATCTGCCCCTCTGTGGCTGTGCAGTGTGAAGGGCACCCCGGTTGCAAGCTGGGGCTGCGTGCAGGGTTCCCTGGGGAGATGTTCTCCAAAGCTGGGTGAGACTCCAGGTGAGGAGGGGAGTGCTCAGCCCCCTCTGTGGTCCCCATGGGGATGGAGAGCTGGTGTTAGCCAGTCTGGGGCTCCAAGTGAGAGCAGTGTCACAGTAGTGACTGCAGGTTGCTCCTTGTGTCTTCTGGCAGCCTGCCCAGCTCCGCGAGCCAGGTCCCATGAGATGGGAAGTTGCAGGGAGCAGAGGAGCTGGCTGCCACTGCCTTCAGGTCTGCAGAGGCAGCCCCATCTCTGTCCTCAATCTCTCCTCTCCCAGGAAGACTGGCTTGTCCCCTCTTCTGCTCCTGCAGACACTGGCCTTGGCCAGACCCTGGGCAGGCGGCTCCACCTCCGTCCCTCTCTGGGAAGGAGCTGCCATTTGCCAATGGGGCCACCACCCAAGGGTGCATAGAGCCACCTGGGGAGCCAGGCAGGCGGCACGGAGGGTGCATGCATGGGACTAGCGTCTCTTTCTCCCCTTTAACTTCCGATCAGGGTGGAAAAGAAGGAGAGAGCACGGTTGAAAACAGTGAAGTTCCACGCCCGGACTGGCATGATTGAGTCCAACAGGGTAAGTGCTGGGCTGGGGCTCAGCAGGGCGCCCGGAGCCAGTAGCTAGCGGGGGCAGGATGAGTCCCAGAGCTCCTGGTGGAGTGACTGGAGCAATCCCAAAGCGAAGAGCAGTGTGACTGGACCTGCCCCAGGCCCGCATCCGCTCGGCACGAATCCTCCATGGCTATGCAGGGGGTGAGCAGAGGAGCCTGGGATGGTGCAAAAGTGCTGGGGAAGGACCCTTGGTTGGAGCAGAGGGGGAGCAGAGTATGTTCCACTGTGGCCCATGGCTGGGAGCTGACCACAGGCAGCTCATGCAGGTGAAGGTAGCTGCCCTCACTCCTCGCACGGAGCGCTTAGTGAGCAGACAAGGAAGGGAGAACGGCCTGGCTATCCCTGCAGAGCTGCTGATTGCCCCGTCAGCTTCCCAGCATCCCTACCACATGTTTTTCTCCATGCTTAATTTTTTTCCTGCATTACAGTTTTCATGTAATCTCCATGATTTCATTTGAGGGTAACTGCCCTGACACAGCTCCTCATTGTCTCTTCATTTTAATTTTTCCCACATGCGTTAAACGCCACTGTTTTTTCTGTCCTCCCTTCCATCTCCATGTTCTTCAGTTGATCAAAACGAAACGTAAAAAGAGTTTCCGCCTCTCTCGAAAGTTTCCATTTTACAAGAGCAAAGAGAACCTGGCCCAGGAGAGCAGCGGACAGGAACGTAAGTAGCAGCTGGCCAGAGAGGGCAAGTGTGCAACTCTCAGGTCCCCTGCCTTGGGGGGAGCGACTTGGCACGCTTCTGTAGCCAGGGGTCCTGGCATCTGCCCGTGTTTGGATCTGTGCTCCACAGTCGTGCCAGCAGCTAGGGAGAAACTGGAGCTTAAAACAAAGCAACGGCTGCAGGCTGGCACTCTCTTTCTCTCTCTCACATTCAATGTCTTCATCTTTTCATCCAACTTTATACCCACCTGACCCCGTGCTCCGCCTCCCCCTGCTCTCTCCCCTCTGCTGTGGGTTCTGCTCCCTCCCTCTGCCTGCCAAGGGCTGCTCCCCTCCAGGGGAGGGGCTGGCCACCTCCTGCAGAGCTTCTCCTGTCCCCATCAGGGCCGAGGGGCTGGGGAGGTCCCGGCTGCACTCCCCATCTCCCCTAGAAGTGACTCCTAGCTATGTATTCCCGTCTGAGAGCCCTTCCCACGGGTTAAGCCCTGTGGGCATGGGGGAGCCATGCCCTCGCTGGTGGATGAGCTGCCCACCTGTGACTGAGGGCACATCTTTGGTAGCTGGCTGCAGATGTTGGGGGGTCCCCAGCTCTCACCTGCAGCACCCTGGGGCTCCCAGCAAAGGCAGGATATTCAGCTTGTTGCCCCAAATCCTGACACGGCCCACCCCCACCTCCTTCCAGATGCTAAACTGCATCTGCTCTTTCAGCAAGCATCCAGACAGAGAGCTGCAGTCCTCACACCTCAGGGAAGAGGAGGTGGGCAAGGCAGAGCAGTGTCTCTGCCCAAGTGCTAGCACAGTGAGTGCGTCCCGTCCCCTTTGGTGGCTCTCCTGGGCATGTGCAGAGGGAGGAGGTTGATGCTGGGCTGCTCCAGGGACTGCCTGCATCCCTCTGCTGCCTGTGCCAGGCTGGCGCGGGCTTCCAGTGAGCTTAGCAGCCAGCATGAGCTTCTGGCATGCGGTTAAGGTTAAGTCTGTGTATCTGGGTATCTCATAGTGCCTAAACGTGACTGGGCTCCAGTCAGCTCTGTGCTGGAGCTGGGGGCTCACTGGGGCGCTGCTCTCGGCCAGCCCTGCAGTGCAGTGACATACAGCGTGGGGATGGGGCAGGCAATGTTCTTCACCAGCCCATGTCACAGACCTGCAGCCAGCTCCCTCCCCATGCTCTGCCACTCTCCATCCCAGTTTGCAGTGTGGGGTTTACCCCGTGTTTCCACAGGCCATGCAAGCACTGGGGTGTGGGCAGCTAACACAGGCAGGTGGGGAAGGACATGTCCCCTGCTGCGTCAGAGGACTGGCTGCGCTGTGTCTGCCCCCAGAGCGGCCAGGCTGTTCCAGGGAGCGCGGAGCCACTGTGCCCTGCCAGTACACGCCACATGGCATCACGGAGAAAGCTTGTCAGCAGCTCAAGGCTGCAACCGTTCAGTGCCAGCAGATGCTGCCGTGGCCGCCCTGGCCTCCCCAGACCCAGGGTGGCTCTTGGGGGCTCTTTGGCAGAGAGGATGAGCTCGGTGGGGGGGTCCAGCTGCACAAGGCGAGACATTGGCAGCGGGCTGATGGTGTCAGCTCTGAAAACATTTAACCTCACTTGCAGTTGCAGCTCTGGGCCGTTCTGCACTCCTGTCACTAATGCTGGTCTGGCTCTCTCCCCCATCCCTCTGACTGCCCTCTCCCGCGCTCTCTTCTCTTCCCCTCTCCCCCTTCTCGCTGTCTGTGAAATCAGGACTTCCCTGGGTTAAGTGACGATTATTATGGAGCAAAGAACCTGAGTAAGTCAAATTTCGATGTGCATCATTCACTTTCTGTCGCTGGCATGCCTGGTGGTGCCTGGGGAACGGCCGGGCTCCGGCTGGGGCAGCTGCGCTTCTCTGGGTGCGGGGAAGGAGCCCCGCGGGTGCCGCTCCTCTGCCGGGGAGCACTGCTTCTGCCGGCAGAGGCTGCTGGGCTTGAGGAGCTGCTGCTGCACGTGGGAGGGCACGGGGGAGTTTGCTTGGGGATGTTGGCTGTGCCCTAAGTGCACCCAGCTGAGGGCTGCCTGCTGCACCCGGGGTGAGCTGAACCTCCTCATCCTCCTCTTCCTCCTGCTCCCAGCTGGGCTGGCTGCTGGTTTAGTGTTCAGAGACTTGGAGCCACTGCCAGTGCGAGTGGGAGGTGGCCGTGACCATGACAGGTCCCCTCTGAGTGGGGCAAGTGACAGCATTTTGAAGTGTTGCCACCTTCCTCTGGGCACTCCATACCCAGAGCTGCAAAACAACGATGGCAGGAGCCCCTCGGCCCTCCCAGCTGGGCATGAGTCCCCTGCCGAGCTCCACAGAGCCTGACCGGGGCAGGCAGTGGCCAGCAAGCCTCTGTGGGGTGGTCGCAGCACTGGGATCAGCCTGAGCAAGCAAAGCCCCAAACTCTGTCCCATCCCATCACTGTCTTGTCTCTGTGAGTCCCAGCCCCATCCCCGTGCCGGCATGGAGCCGTGCCCTCCCCAGCCCCTCCATGTGCATATTGTGCCCGCTCCCCCTGCCAGCACCCTCCTCCCCATGCACTCCCCCTTTCCTCCCTCGGCTTGGGAAGCCCAGCGCCTGCCAGGCCGCCCCCTCCCAGCATTCCTG